GCTCAGCGAGCTCCAGCGAGGAAAGGCGCCGCGGGAACCCAGCGCTGCCGTCCCAAGGGGCAGGTTCATTGGGGCGAGCGGAGAGGCGGCGCACAGGTGCGGGACAGGGCGCTGCGGGGCCGGCAGGAGGATTTACATTGGTTGTATTCTGGATATTGCACTAGCAAAACTGTAGAAGTCAACTGAAGTTTAGGATGATCATATTTTCCATTTGCCTATGCCAAGAATTTGGGGAAATTATGGCTCTGGCATTGCCATAATCTAATAGCAAGGCTGAGATGACTGGAGGCTGAACTGGGAGAGCCTTCCCTCTCTTGCTGTATAAGCCTCCCCACCCTTGTCTGTATAAACGACTATCTCCAGGGGTTTGGGACAGCCTTTGCTCAGTGAAGGAACTGTAGAAAAGCCTATGATGGTGTCCCATGCTGGACCATTCTGAGTGCCTCGACACTATCCCTGGAAGAGTCAAGCACAATTTTTTTTTTTTTTTTTGAGACAGGGTCTTGCTATATAGTTCAGGCTGGCCTCATATTTGTGCTGATCCTCCTGCCTCAGCCTCCCAAGTGCTGGGATTCCTGGTGAACACCACCACACCTGGTGAGCAGATTTTTTTGTTTCCAGCCTAAGTGCCCTCACTAGGAGTGCCGGTCCATATTACCTGTCGGTCATCACCAGGAGCAGCAGTCACGAGTTACTTGAGTAGCCTCAAACACAACATGGTAACAATGTAAAATGTCAGTCAGTACACCACTGTCCTTGGGTTTTTGTTTTCTTCATTGTCCGGAGCAATTCTACATGATTTTGGAGAAAAATCATTTTGCAATTAAATTATGATTAGGCCTAGTTCCCCTCCTACAGGCCAGCTATGGCATGTTGAAGCATAACTCCATTTTGGCCTCTAGTCACCTCTGCATAGTTCCTCACTTTGCTAGGATTTTCGCCTCAGTTGTCACAGCTGCCCTCTGAGTCCTCTTTTATATTTGCTCTTCTCCCAATGTACTGCACTCTGCCCTGAGTCATCTGCTACATTTGTTTCTCCCCATGTACTGAATAAAGGTGTGGCGAACTCCGAGGCTTTCATTTTTGCTTCCAGAGCAGCAAAGATCCCGCCCACAGCTCCGCTTCTTCTCCAGTCGTATTTATTTTATCTTTCCTGTCTAGTAAGTTAATTCACCTTGTATTGTCAGGGCTCAGAGACTAGGACTTACTGTAGAGGTTCTAGTAACGTCCCCTTTCCCTGTTGCCTACAAAACAGGGTCTTGCTATGTAGTTCGGGCTGGCCTTGAACTCTCAGCAATCCTCCTGCTTCAGCCTCTGCATTCTGTATTTTGTTTTCTTCTCTGTACTTGTACTGGTAATCGAACTTAGGGCCTTGCTCTTGCCAGGTAGGTGTGGCACCACTGAGGTAAATTTTAAAAAGTTAATTTTGTAGAAACAATTGGGCCTTGGTAAAATCAACTGCTCTCCCCAGCAGGAACACTGTTGTTTTCTCTTTTTGAGACAGGGTCTCCCTTTGTAGTTCAGACTGGGCTTGAACTCACTATGTAGCCCAGACTCATGGTGATCCTCTTCCCTCAGCTTCCCAAGTGCTGGGATTACAGTGGTGCACCACCATGCCCGGTTGTTACAGTGGGTTTTTGTGTGCTTGGTTTTCATTTCCAGGCATTGAGCCCAGCCTCATGCATGCTAAGCAGGAGCTCGACCACTGAGCTACCTTGGACTGATACTGCCGCTCTCTACTCCTGGCAGCAAGCAGGAGTTGCCTCTAAATAAGGCAGACAGCAATTCACGAATATTTATTGCAAACTGTTGTGTGTGAATGAAGAGATGACATTCTTATTTTATAGCAGATACAAAGTCATTAGTCAGCTGACAGACTTCCAGCTAATCCCTAAGGTTCAGATTTCAGATCACCTCTGCTTTTCCGATCTATATATTCCTCCCAAGGATATTTAGGACTCTAATTTCCACTGTTTAAATGCCTTTATTTCTGAAAAGGCAGAATAGTACAATATTTTGGTTACTGGGACAGAAATGTTTGGCAATTCTCAAAAAAAAAGGAAACATAAATGACCAATAAGTAGATAATATTTTCATTAGAAATAAATGTAAGTAAAAACAATGAGAGTTTTTATTTTTTGGTACCGGGGATCAAACTCAGGACCTTGTGATTGCAAGGCAGGCGGCAGCACTGAGCTACATCCCTGTCCCAAGATACTATTTTATTTATTTATTTTTGAGACAGGGTCTCACTATGTAGTTGAGACTGACCTGGAACTATGAAGCCTGGGCTGGACTCGAGCTCAGTGATCCTCCTGCCTCAGCCTCCCAAGTGCTGGGACTACAGGCGTGCACCACCACGCCCCCAATATACTATTTTTTAATTAAAGTAGCAAACTACTTTTTCATGATTTTAAGTACATAGTGTTCTGAGGGCTCGGAGGTGTGAATGTTCCATCAGTGCCGGTGGAGGTGGGCTAGTGCATTGGTTTTTTTTTTTTTTTTTTTTGGTACCAGGGATCAAACTCGGGATCTTGTGCTTGTGAGGCACCACTGAGCTACACCCCGGCCCAGTGCAGCTGCTTTTGAGGGGTCAACACAGCAGAACCTTGACCACAGCCACCTGCAGTGGCACTGCTTATCATGCACACCAAGGAAATGAGGGTGTGGGTGAAGGTGGCACATCTATCACTGTGTATGAGAAACTGGGGACAACCTACTAGTGGATTACTTCAATAAACTACAGTACCTGGGCCAGGGATTTAGCTCAGTGGTTCCGCCGCCTGCCTTGCAAGTGAAAGGTCCCAAGTTCAATCACTGATACCCAAAACAAAATAAAAATTACAGTACCTGATGTAATGTGATACCAGTAACAGTGTACATGGAGGGACAGCTACTGACCTGGGAAATTGTTCACTCTATTTTCTTTAAAAGAGCAAGTTATAAAACAATAATGCATGATCTTATATCTATTTAAAAAACTGTACGTTTATACATATAGAAAAACGTCAAGAAGGCTATCTATGATATTGCCATTAGCAATTTTTGGACAGTTGAGGTGTGAGTTAAACACTAATTTATGAAAACTTTGTTGTTGTTTTCAGGCAAGGTTGGGGCCAGGGATGCAGCTCAGCAGTGCCACACCTGCCTGAGGCAGTGTCTCGTTATGTAGTTCAGGCTGGCCCTGGACTCACTATATAGCCCAAGCTGGCTAAACAATAACTTTACACCTATTTTTAATGTACCCTCTACAAACATATACTATTTCTGTGATTAAAACAAAAGAAAGCAAGTTAAAGCTTAATTTAAGAAAATTCTTAGCTTAGATTTTGGCTTGTGATGTCAGGGTCCATCTGCCCCTAGAGGCATCTACTTGGGTCAGAAGGAGCTGACCCAGTGGGTAAGTCTCAGTTGTTTTTCCACAAATACCATAATAATGTGCACTTTAAGCGCTTGTCCCGAAAACACAGTTCTCTTCCTTTCTGCTGGAGCTCATTCAGGCTCTGACTAGGGAAGGAAGCCAGCTTTCTCGCAGGTAGGTTGGCTGCAAAGCTGTGCCCAAGGTTGCATGTTAGCTGGGGGAGCCCACAAGAAATTCTGGAATGAAGGAAGGAAGCAGCACCCAGAAAACAAATGCAAAGGAAGGGACGTGGAAGGGCTTCCATTTGGTCCTTACTTCAGTTGTAGGCCCCCAGAGCTACCTGAGGGAGGACACTTGAAGCCTGGTCATACAGGCTGCTTTTAGGACTGAGTCATTTCACACTGGAAATGACAGAATAATTACAAATCATGTTGAGGACTTAAAGTCAGGTAACCTAGAAGTTCAAGCATCATTTCACAAAGGCTCATCCCTTCCACAGCCTGCTCTCTGCTCTGACTTGAAGAGCCCCTGTCACAGCTAGGGCAGAGTTCGGACTGGGACTGACAACCTGGTGCTCAAGGTATAGGCTGCTTGTGGTGAGGGAGTTCATAAAGAGAAACCACATCAAGATTTGAAAGCCAAGAAGGGCCCTATTCATCTTCACAATAAAATTGCCCATCTGATCCCAGGTCTAAGGCTGTCAACCATGGTTTTTATTAGAGATGTATCCAAAGCAACGTCTTCTGATTGGTGGTTTAAATACTCAAGTTTGTGACTGTTTTACAAAGAGTCAATTCCTGTAGATAACTGGGTTAGTCATACAATAAAGTCACTTTCAGATACTTGTATGTTTTCCTCAATGAAAGTGAGAAAGGTGAAGTTTCAACTACCAGCACATGAGACTCTTGTCATGTGTCACTGTGGCCAGAAAGTTGAATAGTGCTCTTTTAGAGCAGAAAAAGGGAAGCACTGGGTCACATGGAGCCTAGGCAGAAGGCCAGTGATGAGAATGTTTGTGGAGGTCTGCAGTGTCCCAGGACTGGGGCAGCGGGAAGTTAGGACAGACTGCAATGCGAAGCGGACTGAGCAGAAGGCATGCGCTGGAAGGAGGCAGGGTTGGCCCTCGATGCGTTCAAGGGCATACGTTGGTGCTCATCATTTATATTATGCAAAACAGAGAAGACAGTGGCACGACATTTACACCAAGACTGATGCCAGTTCTTTAAGAGTTGGGGGTGGAGCTGGTCCCCATCTCCTCAGTTACTCATGAGAAACCCGTTCCAAGGCCACATAGAAACTGTTTTTGTCATCTAGGCAATGCCAGCCAATGGGTCCAATTTCACAGTCTGCGCAGACCAGAAACTTGACGTTGCCCACGTCCTTTGTGAAGCCCACATTCTCAAAGGTGAACATGTCGTTAACCAGCCAGTGGTCCTGGAGGAGATCGCCATCAGGATTGCTGCCATCGGCCAGGGCTGGCTTCTTCCTCATGGACGGAAGGAAAAGCTGCAGTGGAAGAGAACAGGAGGAACACAGCTCGCCTGGCACATAATCACCCCACCCTATTCCCTTACTCTCACACTCCGGAGCAGCTCCCTGGGCTGGAGGGGTGGGGAATCTCATCAGGCTACAGACTCGCACACCCTGAGGCTCTTCTGGCGCCTGTCGGCCGAGAGATATGATGGAAGAGCTCCAGCAGGCGGCTTCCCTGCTGCACTGACCATGGCCTACGAAGCCCAACGTGGTCCTGGTCTGTCCCTGGGCCCTGTGCTTCAGCCACACGGGCCTGGTGGCTTCCTCCACCAGCGTAAGTCTGCTCAGCTCTCAGGTCTTGGCAAGGGCAGCACCTTCTCGGTGTTCAGCTCAAATGTCATGCTCTCAGGATGTAATCTCTGCCCAAACAATACTGTATTTTAAATTTTTTATTATTTAAAAAAATTTTTGTGTGGTGCTAGGGATGGAACCCAGCATGCAACTGCTTTCCCACTGAGCTACATCCAAAGCCCTTGCATTAAAAAAACCCAAAACACAAACCAATAACATAAACCATAAACCATAAACCATACAGACTTAAACAGTCTGATACATCTGGCACATGTACACATAGGTGAAACCATTACCAAAATGAAGATCCAGTAATTAAGGCATTCATCGCTCCTAGAAGTTCCCTTGTGCCCTCTCTACTTTTTTACTTATCTTCTGGAATTTTCTTATCATATATCTCCTTCTGCAAGAGCACCAACACCTGGAAACCAGGGAGCTTACCTTTCTTGTTATATCTCAAGTGCACAGGATAGTAACTGTCATGGAGCAGGAATTCAAATACTTGTGAAAAGAATGAGTGTCGAATATCTGGCTTGAGCTATTCTAATGTTGTTATACAATGGACCTATCTTACAAATAGGAAAATTTAGCTGTAGAACTTGGAATATTATCCCCAGGATCTTGCAACCTCCAGTCTATATGACCTCCCAATCATTAGGAGAAAGCCTTGACTGTACACACACTTTAACTTCCTCCATGTGGTAGCACACACTGTTGGTTGCCTGAGATGCCAACAAGACAGATACAAGCAAAGCTTGGTATCCCCTTGCTTCTGGCTGCTGTCTTATTACTTATTTCCTATCCCACAATATACTCTAATGTAGATCCAAACTCTAATTAAAAAAGTCTGGCACGTGCAATCAGAATAAAAGCAAAACATTAAAATAAAAAAATTAGACTGACATTAGTCTGCAAGAGGCAAATGCTTCAGCAGGGGTGAGGTAAGCCTCTCTCCTGCTGCAGTGTGGCGATCTCCTGGGGCTGCTATTGTGTGATACACTAGAGGTAACCAATCTGACCCTGGGCTCCCCTGGTGTGAAGAACGGAGCCGGAGCCCCGACCTAGAACATTCCTACTCCCCACCTGTTAAGCAGGTAGCTTATTAAAATAGGTACAGTATCTGTTGCTGTGTGACCTGAGAACCTCAAAAAAATATGACCGTCCCCATTCCCGCTACACTGCCATTCCAGTCACTCTGCCTCACCTGATGGTTAAATCCGTCCCTGAAAAACGAAAATAGGCAGAATCTAAGAGAACTGAGAAAATTCAGAAGACCTGGATTCCAGCCATAACTGTAACTTTCTGTTGGCCTCAATTTCCCTCAAAATCATTTCTGGCCTGTCCACTATATTTTAGGTATTGAAGTTACATTTTTTGGGGGGGGGCGGGTTCCGGGGATCGAACTCAGGTTTTTGTGCTTGCAAGGCAGGCGGAAGAACCACTGAGCTAAATCCCTGGCCCTGAAGTTACATCTTAACAGAAGCTGAGCAGAACTTTGGTAACTACTTAAGAAACCTAAGCAAGAATTCAGTGTGTCCACCAAAATGAAGAGAAGGCCCAAGAATAGTAAGCGCTAAGCACCAGCTTTCAGGAAGTCCCCACCAAAGAGCACCAGCCCCCTCCTGTTCCCGAGGGTAGCTCAGAGTGGCCCCCTGCAGTGTCTCCTGTAACACTGCTATCCTCAGGCCCCCCTCATGCCCCAACTGCCTCTACTCCTCAGCATGCTCCTTAGTGTTTAGACCCTGTAAGTCTGACCCACAGGTCTGTACCTCTGTAAGTGTATTTGATCTGTACTTGGACCTCAACTTATTTGTCCCAATGCCAAGATGATTGCTAAGGCCAGCTGACTGGATATGACATTTGGAAAACAATAAGGCTTTCTGGATAACACTACTGGGGTGGATTTTTTTTTTTAATTACCTAATTTGAGGCAGCTGATTCAGATGGGAACTGAAATTACCAGTGAGATCCCCGGCTGGGTTCTCTTTGATTGCAGAACCACAGCTAGCTAGTTAGTGCCCCTAATCCTGGACAGCCACTTCAGAAATAAAACACAAGGCAGTGGGATTCACTTGATGTAACTTCACAGTACCCTTTTATTTATTTATTTATTCTGTTTGTTTGAGACAGGGTCTAACTTTGTAGTGTAGGCTGGCCTCGAACTTAGGATGATCCTCCTGCCTCAGCCTCCCAAGTGCTGGGATTACAGGTATGCACCACCATGCCTGGCCATAGTTCCCTCTTAAAAATAAAACATTTCCTTTCTCATTGTAAAAATACATTCTTGTATAAAACTTGGTAAGCATGATATAATATAGATAAAAATAAAAACTTGTACAACACAGAGTACTTCAGAGTGGATGTGGTGGTTTAATAAACCTTCATAGATTCACTGACAATCTCTCACCAGGTGGAGTCCATTCCCCTCCCCTTGAGTGTGGGTAGGGCACGATGAATGCCTTGAGACCAGGATGCAGCAGAAGGGACAAGCCAGGCTAGAAAGGGGCATGCGACTTTTGCAGTTTCTCCCCCGGCACTTGCTCTGGGGGCGTCAGCCACTGTTAGAGGTCTGGCTGCTCTGCGGTGCTGTGTGGAGACACAGATGCACCCCAAAGCCTGTCTCAGTGGCCAGGTTCTTAAATCTTCCCAGCCCACAGGGAGCTATGCAAGGGAATCAGCCTCTGAGAGGAGCCTCCTGACAGCCAGGACATCCAAGGAGAACTGCTAGCTAGGCCCAGGCAACCCTTTAGTTCCCGAGCAAATCAAACTGCTGTTTCCAGTCACTCTATTTAGGGGTGACTCTGGTAAGGAGCTACGGTTATCTAGAACCATACTACTTCACACAGCTTAGGGGTGTACGCTCCATTTGATTCTTGATTTTATGTGTGTGTGTGTGATGTGGTAAAAGACACCATTCACCATTTGAACCACTTTTAAGTGTACAATTCAGCGGCATTAAGTACTTTCAAGCTGCCATGCTACCACATCTTCTCTATAACTTTTTCATCTTCCCAAACTGAAATTCTGTACACAATAAACTGTTATTTCCCCTTTACTGGGCTGGAAAACGGCAACCACCATTCTACTTTCTGTCCTTATAAATCTATTTCATATTAAGTGGAATTGTGCAGTGTTTGTCCCTATGTGAGTGCCTTATTTCACTTAATGTCCTGATTTTTTCAAATAGAAGTTTTACTGAGATAACTGCAGTTTCACTCATAGCTGTAAGAACAATGCAGCAATCCCATGCACTGTTCTTCTACCCAGTTTTCTCCAAAGACAGTGCTGTATGAAGCTGTGGTACAACATTACAGCCAGGACATAAACACCGATGTGACCCTCGGATCTATTCAGACTTCCCCAGTTCACTTCTGTGCAAGTGCTTTTAGTTTTATGTAATTTTATCACATAGAAGTTTGTGTACCGTCAGTAAAGGGTATGAATTATTCCATCAGCACAAAGACCCCTTACATTCCCCTCTTACAACCATGCCCCTAGATGCCCTCATTCTTCTCCCCTGACAACCACTAATCTACTTTCCATTTCTAAAATTTTTCATTTCACAAATGTGTAGAAGTAAGATAATAAAGTGTGTAATCTTTTAAAAGTGGCTTTTTGTTTTTTCAATCCGCATAATTTCCTGGAGATTCATGCAAGCTGTGTGTATCAATAGTTCGTTCCATTTTTATTGGTGAGTAGTTCTCCATGTTATGAATGTTTCAACGTTACCTGTTGCAGGACATCTGGGATGAATCCCATCTGGCTATTATGAGTAGTCACTATGTACATTTGTGTACAGATTTCATCTTTTCTAGAAAGAAGACGCCAGAGTTCTGGGTCATCTACTAAGTTTTCTTTTAAAAGAAATTGCCCTGATTAATGCAGTTGGGTTTTTTGCTCTCATAGTCTTATCCCAATACTCTTCTACACTTTCCTCCCCACAAACCAATATTCCACTGACCCCCCAGTAAGAGCAAGCCACGATCTCCCACAATGTCACCTCCCTTCACCAACATCTGCAAATCCTGTGGCGGTTCCTGTTTTCATTTGTGGCCAGCACAAAGCTATTGCTGAGGACCCCAGCACAGCCTCCTCAGGGCTGCTGCACTCACTGACAGTCTATGTCTTCAGGGTCTGGAAGCAGAAATGGAAAGTTGTGCTCTCCTTGCTCCCAAACCTCTCCTCCCCCTCACTGTGCTTCTGCCACCTGCTGATGACTCCCAGTCGCGTGAAGAAATTCTGATCACTTTCTGAGCCACACTTGGCTCAGACTCCTCCCCCTCCCCCTCCTTCTTCTTCCTCTTCTTTTTTTGGTACTGGGGATCAAACTTGTGCTTGCGAGGCAGCCGGTAGAACCACTGAGCTAAATCCCTGGCTCCCTGCCTCCTCCATTCCAGTTACCACGGATCGACCTCATCCTCACTGTGCCACTATTTCTGGCCAAATGGAACTCTCCAGTTCTTCGAATCTACCATCGTTGTTCAACAATGTAATAGCACTTTGCTATTCGCCCTCCTCTTCTTGGTTTAATTATAATATCTCCCACCAAAAACTTTAGCTAAGATTATGAGACGTAACAGTTTCCTTAATCCAAAAATCCAATCTGAAGCACCTGACACTTGGAAGCCAACATGATGCCACAAGTGGGGAATTCCGCACCTGACCTCACGTGATGGTTCGCAGTCAAAACATAGGCATACTACAAATACAGCATCAAATTACCTTTGGGCTACATAAAAAGATGCATGTGAGACAAAAGAATCTCAGGCTTAGACTTGGATCTCACCCTCAAGAAATCTCATTATGTATTTGCAAATATTCAGAAATCCAAAAAAATCTGAAATATAAAATACTTTTGATCCTGAACATTTTGGATCAGGACTATTCAACCCACATCAGGCTCAAGAGTAGGAATATGTCACATGTGAAACCAATTCTATGGCTAAAAACACAAGTCACATTCTGCATAGACAGTGGAGTAACTGTCTAACAACTAAACCTCCTGAGCCATTTTACCTGTACTGATCCATCATTTACCTGGACTAATGGCTTTTACTCATTAACTTATCAAAATCCAAATATCTCCTAAATTGTCACCTATCTGTACAGTAGGTACAGGAGGAGGTACAATAAGCAACAAATAGTATAAAAACTTAGTAAGTCAAGTGAAAAGACAGATGAGTGATCTGCAGACTTTATTCCAGTTTCTCAACCTTGAAAGAATTTGCTGAATTCTTTACCTCGGGGGCTGCCTCGGCATTGCAGGACACTATGCAGCATCCTGGCTCCCACCCGCTAGACGCCAGGAGCACCATCCTCAAGTCTGACAACCAAAAATGTCTCCAGACAAGTCTCTCGATTTTTTTTCCTTTGGTGGACAAAAAGATCAAAGAACTATGTACGATGACCACTGAGCTTTTAAATCATCTCAAAGGTGGGACTGGCAGAGTCTGGTTCTCAAATCTTTCCCATTTGGAGACTGCATTAGGCTGCTTTCCTAGGCTGAGAGAGAAGGCTCTGGGCCACCTCTAAGGAGGTTTCCTAACATCTCACATTTCTGCAGGGTTGTTTAATGGCTGGCAGCATCTCATTAACACCCAGAGATGAGTAATAGCCCTGCTATAATCCCTCCATGGTAGCTTCTTGCCAACATTTCAAGTTTAACAAAAGTTACTATAAACTTTTATAGGATTTCAGTTAAGGAGTTTGGTTTCCTTCAAATTGCAAATTATTCTCTGTAAGGGTAGGGACTTTTAAAAAATTTTTCTTCCAAGTATAGGGCACATAGCAGGTGGAGGAACAGGATGTTTCCAACAGTGCTTTTCAAGAATAGGAGCTCAGTGGTGCAGGCCTGTAATCCCAGTACTTGGGAGGCTGAGGCATGAGCATCACTTCTAGTTGAAATCCATCATGAACTACACAAGGAGACTCTGTCTCAAAAACAAACAAATATTCGACCCCCAGTATGGAAAAAAAAATGCCAGGGAGCTGGGGATTTAGCTCAGTGATTCCATCACCTGCCTCGCAAGCACAAGGACCACAGTTTGATCGCCGGTACCTAAAAAAAAAATGCTGGGAATGTAGTTCAGGGTCCCTGCGCCTGCCTGGTGAGCTAAAGGTCTGAGTTCGATACCCTTCCCCAGTGGAAACAACAATGACAAAGGAACAAACCAGGAAATTTCTAGAAACACTGAAGTCGAGGTAAAAGAAAACCAGAGCAAACAAACAAAAACGGTTAAAAGAAAAAAAACCTTTTTGTCTTTTTCAAAGGGAAAAAAGTAAAACATAAGAAACAACTCCTAGGGGCTGGGGATTTAGCTCAACGGTGTCGCTGCTTGCCTCCTAAGCACAAGGTTCTGAGTTCAAACCCTGGTACAAAAAAAAGGAAAAAATAGGAAAAGATAGGTGATATAGATAATTCTATTTGCTCTCAAACTTTTGGCAAAATCAATTTCTTATAAAATATATCAAACAAGGGGTAAGAATTTAAAAATAAACTATAAATGCCATTAAGGAACGTTTTAATCTCACCAGTTAATAAATGCACATACTTTTTCTATGGGAAAAGACTACACAAACTATGTCATGTATTATATAGCAGGTACAGTACTACGTGCTTTCACACAAATCCAGCCACATACATTTCATCTTTAATTTTCAGAACAAGCAACCTGAAACTCAGGGAGTCAAGCACCTCTTCCAATGTTAAAGAATGAAAAGGTCATGATTCAATTCCATGTGTGTTTCAATTCGGAGAACCCGTGTTTTTCTACTTCTCCATGACGCCACTTGGTCAACAGAGAACTTTACCCCCATCCTTGGAAGCTTTACCAAAGAAGGGGAAGGGAGAGGGCTTCAGCTTTCTCTAGACTGAAAGTCACCACTACCCTATGGAACAACGAAGTAATCTCCCTCCCTTCCTTTATGAAAAGGGCTCTGTTTTTGGAGAAATAGGTCCTTTTTGCTCCTATATCGGATATTGTATTTCACCAGCTGTTCAACCACAGTAAATAATAATGGCCATTTTTACAGATCATTTTAAGTGAAAGAAGGTGTACCTGGTTGAACCGAGATTACACTTTGCACTACGGGTTACCCTCCACCTTTATCGAGGGTACAGGGATGGAACTCAGGACTTTGTGCTTGCGAGATAGGCGGGGGAACCATTGAGCTAAATCCCCAGCTCCGGGTTACGCTTTAATAAAAAGTTTACCAAAGTGAAATTTTGTTTCAACCTTCTCTAGAGTGATAGGAATACGAAGGGTATTTAAAAAGTCCTAACCTGAAGGCAAAAATCAATTTTCCTGGGCCGCTGACTTAGCTCAGTGGTGGCGCCGTCTGTCTCACAAGCGCAAGGTCCCAAGTTGGATCCCTGGTTCCAAAAAAAAAAAAAAAAAAAAAAATTAATCTGCCTTTGAAATTTATTTCCGGGGCTCCAAATATCTATCGAATTTGAACTACAATTCGTCTTAGAAACTCTAGCTTGCAGTGCCTCGGCAAAGCGTGCACCTAGAGTTACTCTACCTGTCCGGAACGCCAAAGATGTGTGCGAAGCAGAGAGGTGACTGGCAGAAAGGAGGCTGAGGACGGCCCGGTCGGTGGGGGCCGAAGTGGGGCAGGAATGAAGCTGCACTCGGGCGCCCCAGGGTGACACGGAGAGGCGGCGGGGACGCCCCTGTCGGCCCAGCGGATCGGCCAGAGCCGCACAGGGCGCGCTCTCGTAAG